TGCATGAAATATTGGTAGCCTCTCATTAATTTGTAAATGAAGCTTATGAGTCAGTATTCATTTAGGGGCCGGTGTAGCTACCAATTAAACTAAACTGATCATGCATGTAATTTATGTTAATTACCTTGTTATTGATATATATATAGTTACTGTTAGGTATAGACATATCACATATGCATAGTGTAAGCGAGCGAACAGTAGAGTAAAGTCTTTAAAGGAAGACTTGGATTATTGACTGGATTATAGTTATACGAACTAAAGACAAGAGACCATATAGTCGGTATGTGTATTTTAACTTGACATTTATGTTTGTCATAGTATTTGTTCATCTATTTGTACACCGTAATGTAAATAGTATTTGTAATGTACGTTTATATTCATTAATAGAAAACCTCGTTTTACAAAGATGTGAGTTTGGCTATATGTATTGCTTTAAAAAATCGGAGGATGTCCGATACATCATCTTTCTCATAATTAGAGACCTTTAGTTTGACATTTACAACTAGCACCAAACCGCTAACGATGATTATGATTTAACTAAGCTCTTGTACAAATTACACTAATTTTGTTACATTATAAACATCCTACACAAAGCTTGTGACATTTAGCAATAATGATTATCAGAAAATTAGTTAGCCACTACTATTAACGTATTAGCCAAGACAGTAAATTCAGCTTACAAATTACACATGCCCTTAAAAAAACATATTTTTACATGGCCCACCCTTATGATTGCACTTAACTTTCGATGACCCACCCCTTTTTAACTGTGCTCAAAATAGTAACCCACCCCCTATTTTTCCCAGCCCACCCCCACTTTTACTTTATGACCAGTCCCTAAAGCATACAAGTATTATGTGTAGAATCTAACGAATATGGATTGAACCACAATACAACTGATTACAACCACACTAACAAAGTATATACTTTAGAATACAAAATGGCCGCTTGCCATTCTTTATATTTAGATGGTGCTTCCACAACATTCCATAATATAATATATGCTAAATATCCTACATCCCTTTCGTTTTTCAATGTTTTAAGAGTTTTTTAAAAAGTTCACTATAATATACTAAATACTACCTATAATGTTTCTAACTACAACCTGTTTGTCAAACGTTCGACTTTTGTAAACCAAATGTTTATTTCATAACATAATCTCCATATCTTTTTGGCACACGTCTGGTACGCATAGGTCTTGGGGATTTGACTGACGCACTTTCTGCTGTTTGGTTAGAGTCTCCATTTGGCACTCGCCCATCACGATCACCTTGCGATGACCTTTCTCCTATAGACGGCCAGCCAACGTCAATAAAAGTGTCTCTAAAATGCCATCAATGGCATTTTTTGTTACAAGCTGGAAACTGGCGTTTTCGTATAGCTTAGACACTGGAGAACAACGTTTGATAGGTTGCCACCTCTGATATTGACTTTAAAGTGAAAAATTTTGAGAATCTGAAAATTTTGCGTATTAAAATTGCTATACTCACTAAACTGTGAAATTTGAAACCAACTTTCAGAAAAAATCACCTATATAATCAGAAAGTTCGGAAAAAAGTAGATATAGAACATTTAAGTGAGAAGGGTGAATTTATAACCCTGTTTTGAATTACAGGCGCTTAAAGTTGCTACAAAACAGCTTTTGTGACGTCATTCACTGCATTTTACCTATTTTTAGTGTTCATAACTCGAATTTGGATAAATAAATCGTATTACTCGTTTAAATGTCTTATATGTACTTTTTTATGCTCTTTCTAATGATATAAACGATGCTAATTTAAGTGAACTTCAAATTTCACATTTTTTTGGGAATATAATAATTTAATAGGGAAACTTTTCAAATGCTTAAAATTTTCTCTTTGTTCGTTAAAATCAGAGGTGGCAACATATCAAACGTGACTCACCAGTGTCTAAGCTATAAGAAAACGCTTGTTGTTTACTTGTAACAAAAAATGCCATTGACAGTCTTATTTTGATCGGCTGGCTGGCCGTCTACTGCAGATGATGTTTCTCCCTCCGCTTGCTGTAGAACACTTTCTTCTGGAGGTACTTCAGGTACTGTCGCTGACATTTCGATTTCCTCTGAACCACTTTCTCTTTCCTGGAACGGTTTAACATGAGTAGTGTTTCTTTTATACTGAACACCTTCGGGTGACTCGACCAATACACTGTTCCCGTGTTTATCAATTACTTGATACGGTTGACTTTCAAACGTTGTTGTCCACTTGTTGATGTGCTGCTGTTCAACAACACTTTGTCTCCTTCAGATAAATTGCTCTCCTTGGCATTCCTTCTTTTGTCAGCATAACCTTTCATTTTCTCCTTCTTCTCTCTGTCTTTGCCTCACATTTCTTCATCCAATCTAACATTTTCTCTCAGCTCTGGAAGTTTAGTTCTCAGTTTTCTTCTGAACATCAATTCAGCAGGACACATCCCTGTCGTTGGATGAGGTGTATTTCGATAAGCAATCAGGTACGTTTGCATTGCTTTCCTCCAATCTTGTTCTTCCACTCTTGCTATTTCCATCCTATTGAGTAGAGATCTGTTCTGTTGTTTTTCGATCTCACCGTTTGCTTGGGGCCACAATGGCGTTGTCTTCCGGTGTTCAATTCCATTCTCTTGCAAGAATGATTCGAACGTCTCTGTAATGAAATGAGGACCATTATCACTTGTCACTGTCCACGGTAGTCCATGGGTTGCAAACATGTTTTCCAAACTTTTAATCGCAACTTCAGCTGTATTTCTTTTTGCAATAGTCACCTCTACGTATCGACTGTAGTAATCGGTTGCAGCAAATACATAATCTCCCGATGGCAATGGACCCATGAAATCTATAGCAATATCTTGCCATGGTCCCTGGGGTAATTCTGTCATTTGCAATGGCTCTGGATTAATAGGTCTACTCACAACTTGACATCCATGACACGTTTTGCAGAACTTTTCCGCTTCTTGGTCAATCCCCGGCCACCAGACTTTTGTACGCAGTCGTTGTTTCATCTTGAGAATCCCTTGATGGCCCTTGTGACCTAATTCAATCACTCTTGGTTGGAGTTTCTGTGGTATGACCATTCGTGTACCTCTCAAGACAATCTTTCCAACAATACAAAGTTCATCACGAACTGACTTGTAACTGGCGCACTTGGGACTGTCCCAATTTCCTGTCTCGATACACTGACGAATAGTCATTCTTCATCGCAAGAAGATGCTTCTTCAATTTCTCTGGAATTCATGGCTCTTGGAATTGCTGTCTTTGCAACAAAACTGGCATAATCGTCAGCTATACTTCCGGACTTCATCTCTCCGATCTTTGTCAAACGTGACAATGAATCTGCAACATTTAAATGCCCCGGCAGGTATTTCACTGTAAACAAATACGGTTGAAGTCTCAAAACCCATCTCTCGATTCTCGCTGATGGTCTAGAACAAGCTGAATAGATACATTCTAAAGGTTTATGGTCAATCCACAGTTCAAACTGTCTTCTGTACAAGTAGACGTGGAACCTTCCGCACGACCACACCACTGCTAAGGCCTCCTTCTCAGTCTGCAAGTATCGTCTTTCAACCTCGGTAAGACCTTTGCTGGCATAACAAATTACTTGATCCTCTCCTTTGTGCTCTTGTAGTAAAATTGCCCCTAGCCCAACTGGACTTGCGTCACAAACAATCTTGGTCTTCGCATCTCGATCGAAATAACTCAAGGTTTCCGCTTGGGCAAGCCTACGTTTCAGTTCTCTAAACAATTCTTGCTGCTCAGGACCAAAAACAAATGGTACTCCTAGCTTCGTCAATAGTCTCATTGGCTCTGCAACAGTTGCGAGATCTGGAATAAATCTTGCATTGTAATTCACCAAGCCCAAGAAACTCTTCACTTCTGTTACATTCTGCGGCTCTCTAGCTTCCAAACCACGTCTGTTTGCAGTAAAATAATGACATATACCACTTAGTAATAACAACAACCTATTGCGTTCGAACTTGGTTCAGGCCGTTCAGCTGGTTGTATGTATTCCCTTGTTTCATCAGACCTTATATAAAAAAAGTATATAATGATCAGTGATCTTAGCAATCCGTGCATTAATCGAACAGGACATTAAAACTTATTAATGGCTATTACAGACAATCGTACCTTCTTCGGTATTCCAATGAAAGTAGATTTGCTGCAAATTCACTGTCACTGCATATCTAATATCCTGCAATACTTTTGGCATCTTTCCAAGAATTAAATATCGTCAAGGTTACGAATATTTTCCTGTGTTTCTTGTCCCAGTTTTTCTGCGCATTTCGTCCCTCGTACTTCCTTTTCCGGCCAGAATTGTTTCATTTGCCACCATGCGAGCCACTTCGCAAATCCACCATATTGGATTGGAAAACTTGAAAAACTACGGCAGTAGTTTTCAAGTTGGCGTGCGCAGAAAAGATGCGCAGATATTGACATCACTCCTTTAATATTTAGTTTTATATCATTTATTTTCTTTTGAGGAGGATGAAATATCACAAAGTTTGATTTATCAACATTTAGAGACAGCTTATTAGCACACAACCAAACATGAATATTATGTAAGTCCCCATTTAGATTTGTTTGAAGCTCTACAAGATTCTTATGTTTGTAAAATAAGTTAGAATCATCTGCAAAAAGATGGAAATCTAAGATTTCCGAGCACCTATTGAAATAATTTATATACATCAGAAATAAAAGAGGACCGAGAACTGACCCCTGAGGAATACCACAAGTGACTGTATTATAATCAGATAAAATATTATTTAAGGAAACGTACTGTTGTCTATTCGTAAAATACGAAGCAAACCATTCACTTGCAATTCCACGAATTCCAAACTTATCCATTTTTTAATTAAAATACTATTATCAACTGTATCAAAGGCTTTACTAAAGTCAAGGAATATTCCACCAGAGCAAATTCGCTCCTCTATTGATAACTGTATTTTATCAATGATACTTAACATTGCACGATTAGTAGAATGATTGGCACGAAAACCAAATGTTTTTCATACAGCATATTTCTCTTATCAAGAAAGTCAATTAACCTATTATACAGAAGTTTTTCCAACAATTTATTAAATATAGAAAGAAGTGAAATTGGTCGATAATTGTTTAGACAACTCTGAGATCCACCCTTATGAACTGGAATTATTTTTTCTATCATAAACTACTTGGTACCTCACCCAAAGAGAAAGAGATTTTAAATAATATCTCAAGAGGTTTTGAGTGAAAGCCTTCCAAGCTTTAATTTAAAACTTACTGCCACAAATTGACCCTTTTTAGAAACTTGATTCATGGCAATATGATAACATTAATTAATTTTTATCCTTCTATGGTTTTCAGTACCAAAGTGTGAATAACTAGTGTATCCTGACTGGAATTATTATTACAAAATTTAAAATATTAGCCAGGATAATGATAAATGTCTCCATTAGTCTCCCAATCAACCTTTGAATATTATGAGTATATGCCACCTTGAAAATAACCAGCCTCTGATTTCAACATTCAAAACCAGAAGTTTCTCAAAGTCCATGTGAATCATAGCTATTGTATTAGTTTATGATACATGTACCAAATGGTGAATGGCTGTTGACATGTTGTTATTTTATTACATTTATAATAATGAGTGACATGTTCTGTACCATATATTTATTTGAATGGGTCATGCAGAGATACCAAAATGTACTGTATGGTTACCAGTATCTGGAATTGGATGCAGGTGATCTAAATGATTTTGAGCTGATGCAACAGGAAATAAATTGGACAGAACAAGAAAATGCACTCCTACAGTAAGTTTATTTTCCTTCTTTTCTTTACCAATGTATCACAATTGTCATTAGTGTATATACATAATATATACAACATAAGTGGCCATGTTGGATCAGCTATACAAACTGAATGCGAGAGGTTGTATGTCTGATACAACATGGCCGCAAATGCTGTATACCATTATAGTATTGTTTGTTTAAAGCCAAAGTGGAGTATTGTTAATTGGCTCCATGCAGACCTTCCAACTCTCACACATTTTGCGTGAGACACACGCATTTGACATATTTCTCACGCTCACACGCATAAACACTATTTTCTCACGCAAAAGCGAAAAAATAGGAAGCGATCCAACTTTTGTTTTAACGCTTCTCTTCGCAAGAAAATATTCCTATTTAGATGAATCAATAGCTATAAAATAAAGTTTTTTCGAGTAGTTGCGGTGTAACGTATCTTGGTTAAGTGTAGCAGACAAAGCGACATGTGACGCATCACTCTCAACCACAAAGGGAAGAGTTTCATCTATGGAATGAAGAGTTGCACCTTCAAGTTCCTTCTTAAGCGTGTTAAATGCCGATAATGCTGCCTTATCTTATCTTGCGTCAAGGGTCTTATCTTATCAGAGAAATTCGGTATCCACTTCGCATAGTAAGCAAACATGCCAATCGCCCTGCGAAGGGAGCGGATACTCTCTGGCGGCGGAAAATCTTGAAGTGGGCGGAGTCTTTCCTCGTCAGGAGCGATCACCCCATTTCCAACCCGATAACCTAATACATTGATGGATGTCTTGGATTCGATTGATTTGCTTTCATTCAAGGTAAGGTTCCTGCGTTGGACTGCTTCATGAAATGCCTGGACATTTACGTCATGTTCCTTTTGATCTCGCCCAGCCACTGTTATGTTGTCCAGATATGGAGGAAATGTGTCATTGAGGTTCTCCTCATCAACAAAATTGTCCACTGCTCTCTGGAAAGCAGCCACTCCGTTAGTGATGCCAAACGGCATACGGCAAAATTGATACAGTCTTCCATTAGCTTCAAACCCAGTAAACTTTCGATCGGACTCCTTTATTGGCACTTGATGGTAAGCACTCTTTGAATCAAATGTTGAGAAAACTTTGTATTGTGCTAGGTTGTTGATCACGTCATCGATCTGAGGAAGAGGGCACGCATCAAGCTCTGTGTATTGATTGATGGTTTGAGAGTAATCAATACAGAGCCCCTTCTTGTGCCGGTTTGAGGGATCTTTAGAAACAACAATTTGTGCTCTCCATGGTGTTATGGTAGGTTCAATAATTCCTTCAGACAGGAGTTTTGTAACTTCCTGATTGACTGGTCTTCTTTGCTAAAGCACCTAGATCTACTGGCGATAGGCTTACAGTCAGGGAGAAGGTTTCCAAACAATGAAGCTCCTCGATGGAGGCTGTCGAAGAAAGAGGACAGGCAGGCCTAGGAATTACTAGTTCTGGTCTAGTAACGCCAAACTCTATGGTGACCCGCTTGTGCTTCTTCTGGAAGTCTTGCCCAAGGATAATATCACTACAGAGATCTTTCAAGACTCCCAAACGAATGGATGAGTAGCAAAATTGATTAATTACAACATCCGTTAAAACAGTGACCAAGGATCTGAGTTTAAAAGATGTTAGGGCCATAGATATCTTCTGTGTTGATGCATGAAGCTTGAGAGACAGTTTCCTTGCCATAGTTTCACTTATAAAGCTTTCCGAACTCCCAGAGTCAATGAGTGCGGTCAGTTCAATACAGCCAATAGAGACTTACTTTTACAGATGCTTGTTTTAGACTTTCTGGACAACTTGCAACAATTGAACAAAGAGTAGGCGTGAACATAGAAGCAGTGGTGATTGCAGGCGCTTTTGACTTGCAAACTTTAGCATAATGTCCTTTCTTTCCACAGTTGTTACAATTAGAATTCTGTTGTGGAGATTATCACCACAAAAGTAGCATTTCTTCGATGTGAATGTAGCTGCTAGAGAATCATAATCTAAGGCATGAGCTCCAGGAACCTCATCTGTCAGATGGGAAGAGACTGCTGCAGTTGTAGTTATTTCAGGCATCCTATATGCTTCAGAATTCTTTTGAGCCAAGTCCAAGGCATTTTCTTGGTCAAAAGCAGTTTGAAGGTCGAGCTGTTTATTTTCTAGGAGCCGTTGGCGAATCAAAGGTGATAAGAGGCCATTAATAAAGTAATCACGAACCAATTCCTCACAATACTGTTCAGCAGTTACGTTCTTAAGGTTACAATCTTTGCTAAGTTTTCGAAGTTCTTGGAGAAATTCTGTAAGAGTCTCGCCGGATTTCTGCCCTCTTGTTGCCAGCAAATGTCTAGCAAATATTTCTTTTGGTCTCTTGACAAATAGTTG